TATTTGTCTTTTATAGTCTAGATTTTTTTAACAAACTCGTTAAGTGTGTTGACTTGGTATTTCACTGGATTTCATCTAGTTTATAGAGATATATTATTATCCTTTTGTATTCATAATTAGTTTTTAACCAATATTGAAATAAATTATTTACTGACAAACAGGCAATGATGAATGTTATCAAACTATAAGGTTGAAAAAAATAACTTCTAATCTTAAAATTAATATTAATGCACCAAGTGAATAGATTTATTTTTTATGAGCTATCGGGCAGCGAATTGTTTGAATATTCTGTTTGTTTTTTGTTTCGTGAAAGGGTTGTAAGTAATTTAAGACGAAGATTTGTGCTAAGTTGATAAAGACTTTATAAACTTGAAATTAGGACTGTTTCTATCACAGTCGTATAACTTCTTCACACTCATGAAGTTTGAACTTAGCACAATTAACATTGTTAATAAGTTTTCAAATGTTTCCTTTCAGCAGATTACTATCAAAAGAAATTTAAAATGTAATTAAGTACTTATTATTTATAAGACTATAAAACTAGAATTATTATATATGAAGCGCTGACTTTAAACTTCATTAATGAAACTGTACGTCGAATGGAATCACACTATTATGTTAAATTAAGTGAGTAATCAATTAGCGAATTCAGCCATCTCAGTCCAGTGATGCGAACAAATTTCTATTTGCTCTAGTATCTCAGTTTCATTTTGTGTGACAAAAAACACTGATTTCCTTATCAAATGATATGATTCCTATGGACAACTTGTGGTGAAGATAATGAGGAATTCAAACAAATACTATATTTTTACCCAGTTTTATTTAGCTTTATAATCGTCCATCTATTTAACACATTCATAATTAAAACACAATTTAAGATTAGAGCAGGTTGATCCAGTGTTTTCAGCACCTGTTTTCAACAGTTCAGTCGCTATAAACATTGGTTTGACTGAATAACTATGAGGTTTAAATGGTTTCAATCAGCTTAAAGCTATCATGATTCAAACTGATAGGAAACTGGAATTGAGAAACCACACTTCCTTGAATTAGATTCCTTCTTGTCTGCGTTTTTAAGAAAGCGAAAATGATGAAACTGGAGCTAGTGAATCTTTTATATGATTGATGAATAAGACATTTGTATCAAGTGAATATATTTTATTCTTCATTTGATCAATATTTTTCTATAAAAAGCACAAATATTGGCAAGCATATGTTCATTGGTAAGGAAAACTACTTTTAAATCTACTGTTAATCTTATAACTTTTCACTCATCAGCATACTTTTTAAATGTGAAACTATATTTTACTCACTACTTTTTTTGCGATCAGAGTTATTTGAACTGAAAACATCGAGAATCCATAATTATTAACTGACGCCAAATGAAACTTTCATTAGTGTGAAATCAATGTTTAACCAAACAGTACCGGCTAACATTATTCCCATGCAGTTCAAAAATAATCTGAAAATCATTAAATCTATTGTGTCAAAACAAATAAACTAAGATAATCAACTTTTCGTTTCGTAAAAGATCAACTTAGCTTTGACTACTGATTTATAACTGATTTAAAGCAGTGAGTGCAGTATTTTAGCCTCACCCATAACTAATTCAAAGTTTATGGTATATTCAAATGACGAAATACGAATACTTAAAGAACGGTGGCTTAATTTCTATTGCTTAACATCATAAAATACATCTAGAGCATGTGCTTATTGATTCAATTCCTTAATAACTCCTTAACTATTGTTCCTTATTATAATTATTATTCAGAAATTAACAATTACTGCCTATTCATTTCCAATGTCATTGAAGATTAAAGGGTTTTAGCACATCTACCAGCAATAATTTTATCTTAAAAAATATTTTAGTCGTAAAATATCCAGTATAATAATTGAATATCCTTTCTCAATAAATATCAGTAATTGTTTTGCATCTGAAGTTCTGTTTAAGGGACAATCGTTCACTAAAAATAACAGTAATATTACAATTGGTGATAAGAATGATATTAAGTATTAACAAGTAAATGTATATATAAAACTATTGTCCATAATATAGTTTGTCAATAAGATTAATGGGTCAAATTCAAACTAACTGAACTTATTTAATACGCATATTATCTTGTACATTAGTGTATTAGTAAAATACCTAACCGATTACATTTATTCCTAAATTTATGAGTTTACTTATGCATGTGGTTCCAAACGGAACGTTTACATTAAAAGCTCTTCAAAAAACACTACGAAAAATATAAATTCATTTGTATTAGTTGAGTGAATCTTTTCACTGACGTTTAGGACAGCAATCAACCAGTCTCTTTGGCATATGTACATCCTGTGCGGATCACCTCCGTATTGTCTTTGGGTTACAAGCGTTATTGGCCTAGATATTTTGATGGCGTTTGAAGAGAACGATACTGGGTTCGAGTCCCCCGGTGAACATCAATTCTGAACTGCAAGTACATACTGCTGACAAGTCTGAAATAGGAAGAAATGTGCGTCTTCGTTTCCTCTGATATCCACCATCCATCTCTGCTAATGATGAAAAATATTACCAATTGTATTGCTTTCAAGCATTGTTGAGATGAAGTTAAAAAAGGCTAAAACTAAGAAATATTAGAATTATCAATAAAACAATAAAATCATTGAGTTAAAAAATGTTAAATAATAGCTATATCAATATTAAAAACATAATCAGTTTATCCGGTACTTTTATTATGATCGCCACCGCTTAAAAATAAAATTTGACAGTTAAACAATCAACAATTTATGTAAATTATGATCAAGTTTCTTATTAAATAATTTTACGAATGAAATTTTTTTCGATAACTAACATTTATTAACTAACTACTGGTAAAGAGATATACTGTAACATATTTAGATATTTAACCAAGAAATTGATGTGCAATGAGGTTGAGTTTATGGTGAATTAACAAAACTTACAGAATCATAGTTCCGTAAAACAAAATAAAAATATCAAAATTAAAACACTATGTACAATATTGTTGCCACAAGTCTAGTTTTCTACGATTCGCCTTCAGGGCTAGCGAAGCTATCGAATGTATGTTTCAAAGAGTTTTTTCTATACATTTGAAATCATTAATCAATCATCATTGTTAGACCACCATTAGAAACCTGGAAGCACTGGACGGCCGTTTCGTCCTAGTATGGGACTCCTCAGCAGTGCGCATCCACGACTCCTGCTCCTCGCAGGATTCGAACCCGTGACCTTTGGCATTGTAGGCGAACGCCTTACCATCGGACCACTGGGCCGGCATCCAACGGTGTTAATGTCTAACTCTGATTGATCTATGTTTGTTAGCATACTGTTTTGTGTTTGGAACAGAATGGCTTACAATAGAGATAGAAATAAGTAAATTTTTTGGTCATCCATCTGTTTAGATGTTAAATGAAAATAAAACCAAGATAATATAGATGGGTATACATTTTTTAACATTTGAATGCATAAAGACTGTCAACTAGTGATGTAACAGTTCCAAGTAGTGCATCTAATAGTCATATTTTTTAACTAAGCATAATACAATTGTCAGTGACTCTATAATAAATTAATCGAAATAATACAGGGAAAATTCGATCGTTGAGCTTAGTTAGCCACCTGACGATGAATATATTCATACAGCTATGCTTAAATCATATTTCTGTTTATTTGTAGCCTAGTCACCATTAGTAAAATGAATTTCCTAGAGTTCTAACCGAGTAAAACAAGTCTCGATTTAGACACAACATGTTAGCTACACTACGTCACGAATTAACCGGAGATGGAAAGCTGACTATTTTATCAAGGGCTAAACAGGACTTTTTACTTTTCAAGACTAAATAAATTTGATGCTAATATTCTAGGTGAATTCGATTGCACACTGTTAAGAATTTTAAAACTAGTGCCAATCATTTTGAAATACTCCTCAATTTCGATTGAATCCTGGTTTGTGTGAGTTCATAATTGAAACTATAAAATATTATTCGAATAACGAAATAGACTGTTGATTATTCGCTTGTTTTTCATTTTAAAGTAAGAAGGATTTCAAAAGTAAGCAATAAACACAATAGCCCCAAAGAAATGAAATAATCATTTTACGAAAATATTTTTCAAAGAAAATAAATAAATGACATTTTTTGTCCATGACATTTTCAACACAGTTTTTAAATGTTATGAATTTAGTAACTTCGAATGAAATATTAAATTAATGGTTTATTCTTTGTGGATAATTAGAATTAGCACTCAATAAAATACAGGAAAACTTATCAACCAAACAAACTTCACCCTGTACTAAATAAAATCATGGGATCATTAAGTGACGTGATTAAATAGTTGAACTATTATCATACCTTTTAAATATAGACAGATTGAATATATGACCCTAAGATCGTTTGCTTTGGCCGTAATATCTCGGCTGTACAATGTAAATCAGAAGATATTTAATAAGTAGTAGATGAGAAACTACTACCAAGACATTAGCCATATTTTCAGCAAAAGTGGATAGTAGTTAGCAACTCAATCTGGGATATTTATTTCGTCCTGTGTGAGACACGTCAAATCGATGTACACAAATCCTAATATCTACGTTGGGGCTTGAATCCAGAACCATTTGCCTGAATCACTCATTATGTCACTCACTGAGCTATTGAGTTCAGATAGACACTGACGACAATTTTCACTTGCGTGATCAATAAATTATTGTCCTTGCTTACCTCATCAAACACCACCGTAATTAGCATTTTCAATTAAATTCTGCCTGAAATAAAATATTTCTTGAATGGGAGAAAATGACAGAGTAATTTTACATAGCCAGTGTAACTTCCTCAAATATCAAAAACATTTATTTCACTTAATAATCCAAAAGTTATACATGAACACTATTTTAATTTTAATTGATGAACAGAACAGAAATTATAAATTTAATTCTAGCTATTCTCATCTACACACATCAGATAACTTTGTTAATAATATAAAATAATATAAATAAGTGAAATTAGTTTATGTTCTCAAATTTTAATTCCTTTTTGAAAAGTTCTTCGTGAAAGATCTTTCTTTTACTAAATCAAATAAATCTTCAAATGATGCTCTAGATAGTCCAGTGAAAACGATGAAGTGCTCAAATTGAAAAGAAACAACTGAAACAGACCCGGAATAGACTGTTAGTTCCCAGTCATTTGTCTTGTCAGGTCAGTATGATCTTTTTTCAATAAGTCTTCAAAATATTAGCATCCAGTTAGTGATTATCAATAAAAATAACTGGGAACTTCGGCAGATTTATTTCATAATAGAGAAATTTCATGTAGGTGATACAGTACGACTGACTACTGCAACATTATTGCAGATAACTGATGAATGTCCGATTTGGAACCCTGTTACAAATAAAGAAAATCCACATTTTAACGTTCATAACTTTTGTAGATAAAAAGGTACTGGTTAGATAAAAATTAAAGAAAAATAATTCGGTAGAATTTTTTCGATAACTTTTTTCACGCATATTTGAAGAAAGAAATTTGGAAAAATAAAACTGGTTCAATGTTATTACGGAAAGATTGAGTTTTTATTCCTTTAGTATCAGGAAATAGATATCGAAGAAATCGATAATTTCTGTACTCGTCTAGATTTATACCTGAATTATGACTGACTGAAGGTATCATTTATTACTTTCTAGTTTGAGAAGATAGAAAGCTTGATGGTCGATGTTAATCAGCCGGCACGTAATTTTGTTTCAGGCTTATGGACATTTTGAAGTGCACTAGCATTAGCTTAGTACAACACTGTCTCAATTTAAGAGATTTGTTTATGCATCCTTAAATCACGTGTTTTTAGAGAATTCTTTTAGTTTCACCTTTCATACTCTATATTAGGATATACGTTACCATTTCGGTAAACTTATGCTTTATTTTTCTGGAATGTTCAGATGATTCATTACTTCCAATTCTGGAAATAGTGTAATGCTTGTATCCCATACGATTCTTTTACATTTTTACAAAGTTAGTCAGTATGCCACTCAGAAAACAAACTAGGATATTACATCAAAAGTGGTCTGCATAGAAAGTTTAAACTCTTAGTACAAAGTAATAGAATATTTTGTGAAAATCTCCTAACCTACTCATAAGTACCTGCTCACGAAAACTACCCGATTAAACACAAACGACAAGTGATTGAACAGGTGGGTGTACTTGATGGTTCTATGTAACTTCAGTTAATATTACGGAAAGCCTAATAGAAGTCAAGAAAATCAAGTTAAGACTTTATTACGTGCACTGAATTAATCTTTTTATTGGAGTAGTGATTTTTATTTTCCTCCTATCCGATAGACATTTCGTTTGTTAGTTCACTATGTATTGTTAGGGGGTTTAAACAGTTTGTATTTTATCAAACTTCATTAAATTAGTTCATACAATCAAAAAATACATGTAAAGCTCAGTTTTATCATCAGATCGTATCAGAAGCTTTACAAACATTTTGTATATACATTTGCACTAATTTTGTTTGAACACACAGAGACTCTTAGGTTTTTAAGACACAAGTACATCATTTTATGAACTGATCTTCGAAGTGGAAGTTGTTTTTCCGATTGTTTTTATATAAACTAACAGAAAACCAACTGAATATTAGACTAGTGCCTTGAAGTGACATGCTTCTCTGAAAATTAAAAGCTTTACACGAAGTAATTATGAGAAGTATTTGCCAACCGAACAATACAGATGTAAGTATGATCGAAGAAATGGTTTATATAAAAATAGATTAGTTCCCTTTGAATAGTTATCCCCATAAAAATTCGATAAATATAGCATTTTTTCTATATCAACTAGTGAATTTAATAACAAATTATTTCTAAGATGTTAGCCATCCAAATAGTCTAAACAACGGTTTTATAATAGCTAAAGAACCATTGAAAATCAGCCAGCAATGGACTTTGATTATGATTCTGTCACAGAACTTTCTAGCAATGATGGCCTATACCTCTAATAGAGGCTTAAACCAGGTCTACAGTGAGTGCATTATCTGTGTACGGTTTAATATGCATCCAATCGTCCATATTTTCAAACATGATTAAATTATTCTCGAAAGGTTGTTCTAAGTGAGCGATACTTTACTAATAATGGAAGTTAATTAAACTTTATTCCTACAATACAGATATAATAATTTATTTATACATTCAATCATTCTGTACTTTCTAATAAAGTATGCATGATAATTTTCCGTCTCCTAAAAGTCAAAATGCTACACCATAAACGTTTTAGCTTGAAGTAGCAAACAAATTAATCTATTTAGAAATCTATTGTTTGTTAAATAACTACTGTTTAACTAATGCCATTCTTTATTTCTTAAAAATCATCACTTTTTGAGAAGGAATTATTTTTCGCAATGATTACTAATTGATATAAATCACTATTAAATTATAGTTGTAACTGAATAAAACTGCTTAATCAACGTGAAAAACTTACATTACAAAATTTGTTTAACTTGAATGACATTTATTTCGAGTGAGTTACCATTTTTTTGAAATATTTGGAATGAAGTTACAACAAAAAGGATGTAAAATAATTTTGCGAATAAACTAGGGATATAGTTTAAATTAGTTATTCAGCGTAATCTTCATGATTACTAGACTATGAAATGTAATCAATAACAGTAAGTTATCAACTCCGATATTTCAAATTTTCAATAGATTTAAACAATTCTGAACACAACTTTGATTGATTTACGTACTCCTAACACTAATAGTTATGATCAGAGCTAATTACAGTATTGAATATTTCAACATGGTAATAAATATTCAACACTCACACATGGTTTGACTTTTATGAGTAAAAAAACTATTTCATACATCTTAGATTTAGACTGTAACTAGTTGGTAGCTCCCTAAATGAATAGCTCATTTAGTTTATGGCTATAGTGATAATTCTACGTACTACAGATTTTTTTTGGATTGAGTTGTCATCAGCTCAAGTGTATGTGTTCAGGAGCTTTTACAAAGAATTTAAAAATTAGCGCTGAAAAACCCCAACAGAAATGTATGCAGCAAAAAACAAAAGATAATTTCAGTTTTATGCATGCATCTGTTATATAATGAAAGGAAAAGTTACAGCTTCTGCAATTCTAAAAAATGGTTGTGGTTGATGACTGTCAGATACTGGCTACTAAAATATATCTAATATTTTTGAATAATTACAATTTAAATGAATGTCAGAGTGAAATGTGTAATGGTGAAGTTTCATTTTTAGAGGTGGACGTTTTGATTATTAGACATTTGAGGAGAAACTAGAGTTTTTCTGGAGTCTAAGCCTGCTCTTTGGTAAAATTTTCTCATTTTCGAAGGACAAAAAGCGTGTCACACCTATGTGGTTTTGAGATGTGGGAGAAAATTTTTAGCTCTAATAGCATCAAAAATATTGGTTGGAAAGATATTAAGTGATGGAAAAACTTTTTATACCTTTCTGACCTCTTTTGTTTTTTCATATTTATCATAGCTTTATTAGTATTATTATTATTAAAAGGTGATCAATGCAATATTCTTTGAATCCGTCAAACAGTTCACAAATATCAGTTGCTTTTATATATTTCACTAGTCAGCTACTTATTCTTACTGACCATAAAATTAAAAATATCGCAATAAATACTGTAGTTAGTGATAATCCGATGATCGTCTTAAACGATAGTGGAGCGTTCAACAATCTCAGGTGTAGTCTTCCCTTATTAGCCATCCAGTGCTTCGTAGTTTTCAGTAATTGTTTGGCTAAGATCACAGCGTGACATTAATTACAAAATAGTTTGTCTATAACAGAAAGTGTGCACATCTTTTTACTGACCGTGCATTTAAAACTAGATAGCTGTTAACAGATATGTATTCTCGGAAACACATTCTTTTTATTATTGCCGATTGAGTTGATTCTGGATTCTCTTCATTAAGTAATAACTTAAATAGTAATCACTTGAACATGTATTATTATATACTCAGTAAGAATATATTCTGACCATTAAAGTGATGAGTAGAATACTGATTAACTGATAGGGTAAAAATTAAAGAATATAACAGATTGATAATTTCTCATGTGACCGCTGACTCAATACATTTACTCACTCTTTAACCTCAGATAATCAAGACGACATTAGGCAGTTGTGATTCTAAATTTTTTGTCATTTGATTATATAAAGCTCTGTCTCTTACATTAAAGTACGGAACAGAATAAAAGTGGTTAGAATATATAAAAATCATATCCTACAATCTATCGCATGTGATACAGACTCTAATATCTACAGACAATGAAGCATCTAATGTATCGTGTTTTAAATGTCAGTCAACAATGTCTGCAATGACACCTCTTTGATAAAGTAACGTAGGAAACTTTCATCAAGTCGTTTTTAAATAATGATATTTTTACTGCCCTCAGAATTTTTTTCATTTTCTTGCACAATATAAATTTCTGAAGCTCTGATAACGTGGAATTAGATTAATGGCACAAAACTGGATACATGTCACTGCATCATTTGTAATGAGGATTAAAGTTTTGGTTTCTATTTTTTGCCTTTGTCCCATGAGTTGATCTGTAGCATTACGAGGCAACTTATACAACATTTTAGTCATTAATACTAAACACAAATAAACGATACGAAAGAATATAACGACTTAAGTAGTAAACAATAAACTTATTACTTAGTTTGTGCAATAACGGTATCACTATCCATAATTATTAATGCATAGATAAACTTGTGTAGTGGAAAGTGACTATTTGGATAAGCATAAATATCCAGCTATTGGTATTTCATGATGAAAATTGCATTCGAATGATACAAAATCTTCACGGGACAACCTGAATGTTTACTAACGGCTGCAAACGAAATCGCCCTCCTGAATTTCTGATAAGAAACTATTAACTTGAAAGTCAATCAAGTAGAGAGCGACGTATCTATCCTAACCACTTAGATAAGTTTAAATATATATAAGCAAGTTCGCTTATATTTTAATTAAGGAGTAATTGACTTCCCATCCCAAACAAACTTATTCGTACTGCCCACTTTTAGGGTAAACTCTTATGGTACTTCGGGAATACATTATTTCAATTCTTCTTTGTATTGGCTCACTTTTATTATTTGCTAAACATACGGATGATAAATTACCATAAACATCAAGTCACCGATTTAACAAAAGAAGTAGAATGAAAAATCCTTCTTCACTGTGTAGCTCACCATTTCACATTCGCCGTAAGTATCTAAAATTTTAACACCGATAGTTATGAAGGTATTATCGAATAAATATTATAACACATCCAAGTCTATTTGATAGACACCTCTAGAATGCAATCTCATGTTTAATAGAGTCATAGTAAGACAGAACTACTAATACAATTCAGTTTTGTATCGTATTTGAAAAGCTTACGAAATAATAATGTGTATAAAACGATATTTTTTTAAAATAAAATATATTCCATAAACAAATACTCATACTAATGAAATAAGAAATAAAACATGTTTTTCTAAGGTTCATATTTATTAATTTATGATAATGAATAAATATGAACAGTGATAGAAATAACTAGGGATTAAGATTTATTGAAAACGCGTCAAGTTGAATTATCATAATAGATCAAAATGATTTACTTTTTTAATGTGTAAAAAATCTAACATAACTTAAGATCCAATCATACATATAGTCCAGTTCAATGTTGGTGCTAGCAGTGAACAATTTGATTGACAACGAAGATCAATGAAAATTAAATAATGTAACTTTATAAAGTACTAGTATTAATCGTTACGTTGCAGTTGATGCTTTTACTGACTGCTATCACCACCACTACTATTACTACTCCTACTATTACTATTAATTATGATAACGATAAGGACTAGCTATTGTTTGTAATGTACACAATAGTTTTGTAATCAATGATCGCCGGAGTATCATGTAACCAGGTAAACAAATAAATAAAATAATTGATACACAAATGACTTTATACTTTACAATTTAAATTATACTATTCTAGAAATAATGAAAACAGAACAAACAACATTTTCGTGAAGTAGAATTGATCACAAAAAAAAATTGAATATAATTATTGAGTAGGGAAACAATGAAAACAAGAAAGTTTCTAATTTAAAAAAAAAAAGAGATGAAAGTTATTACAACTGTCACACACATTAAACACAGTGATATTATGCAATTTTTTTTTAAAAGAAATCAAGTAATATAACTTATTTTCATTTAATTCACTTACTAACATTGAAATAGTTGTTCGGAAATGATTTTGATTACGTTTAAATTTTCTTTCATAATGTTGGTTTTTTTTCATAAGACAAACACCTGAGATTCATGTTCATTGTACACTAACTGAGAATTTTATTTACAAAACTGGTAATTTCCCATTTGCATCGAAGGACATACAACAGACTACGTTGTAGTCGCACGCAAGTACGTTAACATACTTTTTTTTCTAATTTCAACAAAATTGTCAATTTGTGTGTAAAACAGACTGAATGAAGTGAGATAGGAATTGAATATCTATATTTGAATTCAACCAATCGGTTGATTCAGTTTCATTACAATGCTTTGGAAAAGTAAATTTCCGACTTGATAAAATTTGCATAAAATAAGCATGATAAAATAATTTTTCATGATCGAATAAGTTAGTTTGTTCCCCAGCATCATTATTACTGAATTTAGAATTGAATGTAATGCGGGGAAGATTTGATAAAAAATTAGCGTAAGACTCACGTAAAAATACAGATGAAGGAGATAGTGATCCAGGTATTGCAGAATTTCGCTTTTCTAATGGCGCGGACAATGCCGAGTAGGAGGAATGAGACAAAGAATTAGAGGACAAGAGTGAAGATGTTAGTAATGAGGCTTCTTCATTGTCCTTTTTAGTCGAATTCAAGATATGATCAATATTAAAGGATAGAGAATTTTTTAAGTTTCCTTGATTATTTATATCTAAATTGTTTTGTGGTTGAAATAATGGCTGGAATACATATGGTGTGTTAGGATCAATTGAACAAGGAGATACTGGCCTACTTATTGATGATGAAGACACCGAAGACGTCAGAGGTACATTAGAATTATGAACAGAATATGGTGTACACATGGATATTCTACACGCTGACGGAATAGTGCTTTTGTTATTAAACGCCAACAAGCTTTCCGATTTCTCGTGTAGATATTCATTATCATGAAGACAGTTATGTACAATATCGTCATCTTTCAAATAATTTTTACTGACGTAGACGTTCGAAATACTTTCACTGAATAATGAAGCATTACTAAGTTTGCTTGTCCTGGTGTTAATATTTTCCTTGATTAGAACAGGTATATTACTCACGAAATCAGAATGATGTGTACTAGCGAGCACATTGTTGCTTTTGTCCACAGTGACTTGAGGAAAAACGCTACTACATGTCTTGCTATTCGTAGTGACAGAAGAATTATTTGAACTGGCAGTTCGCTTCGCCAAACCGTTGAGATCATTATTTGATTTGTTACAGGCATCAGTTGATTCGGAATAATTGGAAAAACAAGCACTGGTACTACTATCAAAACTTAAACGTTTATAACGTTTACGTCGTCGTAAAAAACTTCCATTATCAAACATGTCTAAGGAATTTGGATCCAGAGTCCAGTAGTTTCCTTTGCCTGGATTACCAGGTTCACGTGGTATCTTCACAAAACAATCATTCAGTGATAAATTGTGCCTGATAGAATTTTGCCACGCTGGAAAACGTTCACGGTAGTAAGGGAAATTAGACATAATAAAATCACATATTCCACCTAATGTCAAATGTTTATGTGGTGAATGCAGAATAGCCATTGTAATTAACGCAATATATGAATAAGGCGGTTTCACTGAGTGTAATCTTACTCCACGGTTATGAAATTTGCCATAGTTTAGTGCTGACGATTTTTTTGTTGGTGCTGGTATTAGTGACGACGATGATGAGGATAACGATAGTACAGCTCTATTAATTCGTGAATGTTTCATCTTTCTTATCCTATCTGCATTCGGTCTCCGTGAATAGCCGCGGCCATGGTAGTATCGGAAACCACTGTTGTTATTAACTATACCGCTTTTCTTATTAATAGCATTGATTGTGCAAGTGGTCACGGTACTAGTAAATGTTGGTAAATGAGATATCACTTGATCAAATAAACCACAATTATTCAGCACAGATGGAATAGGAATATCCGCTGAATTATTGAAAAAGTTGTGATTGCTATGATTATCTACAGTAGTAGTAAGCGTTGTATTAACTGGTTTTGAAGAATATATTGAGTTAAAATAGTCTACAGGTGTTTGAGTAATTAAGTTATGGAACTGAACACTGTTTTTGTCAATGTTGATATCATTGTCAGTAGTTGGCATATTTGTATAAGGAGAAAATGTATTCATTCCAAACTGGTTCGAATTCATATATTCTCTATTCGATTTAATTTATATATATATATATATATATATATACATATTAATATATGTATATATATGTATATATGTATATATATACGTAGGCTTCAGTTTATTTTCGGTTGTTTGTTTTTCCGTCCCAGACTATTGTATGCGCTACACATATCCCTTTATTTATGCATATACACACATCTAGCCAACTAAAAGACAAAGAGAATATGGCCGGAAAATAACAACAGAAAAAATAATTTTTCCACCAGTGAAAAAGCCTTCCTAAGTTTTTGGTTAATTTCTACTTTTAACCTGTGCAAATTTGTCCATATGATAATTTTGATAAGCAAATGCAAACCGTATCTCTCTCTTATGTAAGTGTATTTAGATATACCAATGGGACTTCAGAATATGTTTATCAATTTAACCAGATGATATATACACACACATACAATTGTTTTGTACATCGTCATACGTTTATTATTTACCTTCTTTTTACTATCATTAGTTTTGTTTATATAAACTAATCAAACTGTACAGAAAATATTTTAAATTAGGACTAGTGATTGGGCTATCCAAACAACCAATCATCATTGTGCGCGTAATACGATGATGGGAATAATAATGATCACTATTTTTAATTTTATATTGTTACGGTTAATTAAATTTGAGCTCTTGAAAGGACTTTTACTAAATAATACGTTATTTACGTCTAGTTTGTATAGAATAGTGTCTTACATAAGATAGGATGACACGTTGGCAGTAGTACACATCACAAATCTACAGCTGTAGTACCAATAAAATAATAATTCCAAGCTGAATACATAGACATTTGTGGAAGTTCCATGATTAGTAAAATATTTTGAAAAGTGAGGTTGAATCATATTAAATTTCATACAGCTTTTATCACATAAAGTAACTAACACTATGCTTTTAAAACGAAAGCACTTTTTCAAAGATTAAGGGAAATTTCATCACGTTCAATTAATGATAAAATGACGATTATTTAGAGTCGAAGTTAAAGCAAAGACATAACATACTTCTTTTGAACTTCGTCTCGCTGATAAATGGGAATTCTGTTGTCTTCAGTTTTACACGAAGATATTTTAGTCACTTTAAACGAATATGGGCAATAATGAAATCAGTACATGACTTAGTTGACTGGATGTTGTCAATTCAATATCTGAAGATATAAGTCCTAACCTCTCTCGCATAGCATTTATATAATTAAGTCTAAAATTTTTATAAATATGTGTATATATTACTAAAAAGATGACCAGTTGGGAAGTAGTAAAAATTTATTGACTTTTGGAATTTTGACTAGTATGTAACGTACAAGTCCAATCATGTCTTGAAATGATTATCAATAACAGTATGAATATATTTCTTAGTTGAAAAGCAATACTGGATGATGATACCAGTGAACAATTAAGTGATCTAAAACAAATTTTATTCTTTATATCCTCTAATCAATTCATAAACTCGTGTATTATTCAGTAAATTTACTGATCCGACATTTTGTTTAAACTTAAATATCTACAGATACAACAACATATATATACAGATGACTGAGATGGTGGAGAAAATTTGTAGCTCAGGTGGATGATTGTGGTGGTGTTTCGTTCTCTGAGCTGCTCAGATGACTGACAGTCCCACCTATTTAAGTCAAATATATTTCAGCTAATCAGTTCTTCGTTGTAACAGTTACGCTTTGATGACTATCTTTTATTCACTTTTTTAATGTAATCATAGTATTTAGTATACTTCACATTATATTTAAACCAAAACTTTAATTATGCATTGATGTTAAAAAATTTTGCCTATGATATTTAATCAAACACTCAGTCAATGTTAATTTGAATGTTTGAATCACATGTCATTCGTACAAAGATGTCATTTGTCTCTACACAGTAATGTTTAGGGGTCACTGTATAAGTTACATGCAAACCATATAGTCTGTAGGCAGAAAGTAGCGTTAAGAAACATTACTTGTGATGGATGAAGTCTATTCCAATTATACAGATGCATCCACTTTTTATATTTTAATCAATAAATAGGTGCATCTTATTCTCAACACTTATTAAATTACACTGTTTTTGTCTTCAGTGGTTTCATTCAGCAATGTTGTTTTAAAGTGTGGATGTTTGAACTGTTTGAAATTTGCTACGATCTCTAAGCATCGATGTATTCCATTTTGTTCATCAAAACTACGCTTCCTACCTTATTTGGCTTGCTTGTGATCCGAGGTTTTTCTTTTCACACATTTTTTAAAGCGTTTCAGTGCTGTTTGGTTGGTAGACGTTTTGTGATAGACTTACTGTTCTTGTACTATTGACAACTACCAACTAACATGATCGTAAATTTAGCTAGGTCCTCTAATAATGTTGAGATCAAGTTGGTTGTTTGTGAATACAGATTCTCAAATTGTATATCAGTATCTAATTGACTGATTCTATGCCCATTATCACAGAATATTTGTATATATTAGGGTAAAGCTTGATGACGATTGGAGTGAAAACAGTATTGCTTGCTTAAATGTATTGTTCTGATTCTCACAATGTGAATCTTTAGTATTTTAAAATTAACTAAACAGAGACAGCTTTTGAATTGTTGTCTTTACAACTGACCAAAGTTAAATAAATTTCATGCTTGAAAAGTATTAACACAAGCGCTTCTAGATTATTATTATTATCATATAATAATGTTTTTACAAACTTTTTATCACTTATAATTCACAGTTATCATTTATACTGCATATTATGCTTCTTAACCATGTAACCGGTTTAACTCCCATTCATACTCTAAATCCAAATGAATACAAGTTTCAGTGAAACCATGAATACATATTTCTTCGAAAACATTTTTCTCAAATTTCTCAACTCACTAAATTATTATTATTACAAGCTATCTATTTTTAGTGACGTAAGTTGTGAAATTTAGAATTATGGTTTCAGATTAGTCAGGTCCTACTAAGTTAAAAAATGAAGTAGATGCTCAATATCACAACTGCAATCAATATGTACTATTTGAATTATTCAGTCATTCTGTTTACCAGTTGAAAATTGTCTGACTGTTATCAGTTTTTGTTAGCGTAAACGGTTAAATCTTAGCTGACTACATTTCCATAATGATCCATTTAATTTATGATACACAAATACTTTTACTGTTATTCTTTCAGTACATAATCAGTGTAATATGAACTAGAAAAATTCGACTATACGTAAGTATTCATAATCTAATAAAAGGTGTTATTGTATAATTTACTTATGCTTTTATTTGGAAGCATCATACTGATTGGTCAGTGACGTAAAATCGAGAAAAAAGCTAACTACTTCTGAAGAATCCAGAGTGTTAATCTCTCGATAACTTACTGAAAGAGCTAATCAATCAATCAATCAACAGTGGCTTCAGAATGTATTCATTATTGTGTATTTGACCGGTGGAGCATCCATTAGTTTGTGCATCAATAAAAGTCCTGTTTTAAACCTCAATTATATTTCAAATAGATTCGTTTTTAGTCTGGAAATGATACGAACAAGTCTCATATCATATAAACAACGATAAACTTTGTATCTTTCACATAACAAGTTAAAACATAGATATACCAGAGAAAAAAACAAATCATCTGTTCAAAAGAATTTATACTGATTAAAATAAGAATTTGCCAAAGATGAAATTCTTTACAAATCATATCTCTTGTTTTTATATAACCCTTGAAAATAACAACTCTCCTATAATAAAGGCACGATGAACATCATAATTATCTCAGCAGGAAATATACCATTATTTTATCATCAATATTATTATTGTTATTATCCTAGTTGAACGAATTTTTTTTTGGTCGAAAATGTAGAATTCATTATCATGTTAGCTTATCACTTTCGATATCTTTTGAAAGGATACACGCACACACACACAAACACGCACAGAATTACCTTAAAGTATATTTTTGTTTTACACATGTTTATCTACTAAACAACTGTTTAGAAAATATAATTGGTAATACAAATCTATTACTACAGACTAGTGTTATGATCGTTTCCGATATTATACATATTTATCTTTATTTCATTTTTGTCACAAGAAAAATTGTTCATACTAACATTTTTCATTCATGACAAACCACTTCGATAGGTAATACGCATAAAACTTGATATGATGCAGTGATTAAATAGAATGGATGGTGTGTTGTTCACATGGATTTGTTTTGTTTTGCTTTTACGGTTTTTTTCAGTAAAATAAATTAAAATTAAAACACCCTGGCCTATATGTAATTATTCCAAAGGACTGATTTGTTTTATTTTTATGGAAAAAAAAGTGAATATACAATTACCAGTAGTAGTATGTCTATCTACATGATTAAATACATGATAAAAATTAAATATATCAACTTTCGGCTTATTTCAGGCATTCAAATAGCTATCAATCAAACAATTCTTCATTACATCCTATTCCTTTTTACAACATATTTCTTCTGGTCTAAACAAGATAAAACATTTTTAACTAACTATTAAAATGATTTTCTATTCTGGTAATACTAAACTGAACATTACTAGTATCTTAATTCATGATGAGAATTTTTGTTCGGAAAATTAGTGAAAATAGAACATTGTTGATCAGTTGAATGAAACAGTGAATTAAAAGTAATAGAAAGTTATTCAGAACCATGAAGATAAAAAGAAAACACTGATATTCGAGAAATATTACTAATAATTGAAAGCAAAGAAATTGGGGTCCCAGCAACAACTGAATTAATTCGAAGATATCAATACTTATTTAGACCTAACTGACTTTCAATAAAGTCTGATTTCAGAATTAGACTGACTTATAAGTGAATATTAGCCACCATAATTCAGTTTCCATATGTTCTGTTATACAGGAGTAAATGATCTGAGTGATTTTTGTCTTTAAAAGTTAATTATGAGTGGAATTTCTAATCAGTTATGTGCTGATCATTTGACACATCTTTATAATACATTTTAATTCACTCACAGATGATGTCATTAAAAAACAAATCA